AGCAGCACACAGCAGATCACTCTCATTTATACGGTGAGTTCTTCTCTGCTTATCACTATGTATTACTTGATTATGTTATTAAGTCATTTTAAACAACTTTTCATGTTTCGCTAATTACATTTAGCCTGTAGTTTTGTATTAATTTAGATGGTAGTAGTAGGCTACCTCTGTTTGGAATATTTGTGCATGGAAAATACCAATTTACATTCAGCTACGAAATATTGGTTCTAAATTATGATACACATATTTCTAGTGAAGCTCTATAATAGAAAATGCTCAACTATATTTAATATTCATTTCAGTTCTACACTTCGAAGATCAAGATGTGGCACCTATTTTCCGTTGTCTGCCTGTTGAATTTTATTGGCAGCAGTATTATTAATGGGCAGGCATGTTCTTGTCTGGAACATGGGCCACCTGGTATTGATGGGCCAGCTGGTGTTGATGGGCCACCTGGTCTTAATGGGCTATCTGGTGGTCCAACTGGCCCACGTGGACCACCTGGTTTCCCTGGGACACCTGGGGAACCTGATGCTGGTCCTCTTGGTCAAAAAGGTGGCTATTTTCAATTTCAGCAGAGTAGTGTTCTGAAGAGTTTTATTTCTGATCAAACTAAGACCATGCTTTTTGTCTGAATTCTGGCACATTGCTAAGGGCAGTACGAGAAAAATAAAGTCCTTTTTGAACATTAAAGCATGTCAACGTGTCCGAGTCGAAGCACAATATAAAAATGTGACCTGGAAAGTATCATAACATGTCCTCTTTAAGGCCTACTGTTACATCTATTGTGCTTGAATGGTTGTAATGCCTTTGATCGATATTGAGCTTGCTTCCCCCTAACTCCTGACCAATTAAGGTGTCCCCTAAATTCTCACTGTTGTGCCTCTCGTGTCAAGATGTTGAATTAAACAATTCATAATGTATTAATTATTAATTAACTAATAAGAAACATTGAGCATTCCCTGAGAAGGAGAATTCAGGTATTTTGTTCTCGCTCTACAGGAAGTTTGGGTCCTGAAGGAGATCCTGGACCAGGTGGAGGACCTGGAGTTTGCCAGGGTAAGATATTATGCAATATATATATAACAAACTCATTATAGTTGTAAAAAAAATTCATAAGCTTTGCTAAGCTACACAAAATGACTTTTTGTCATTTACAATAGTGTTCAACGCTATACTACAACATGTGCACATTTGACTGTTTTCATTGTAACATATCGCAATTGATCAGTCAAAAATGATCTCAAATAGTTATTTTTTCCAAATCGAGCAGCCCTGATATAATCACATGTGAGCTCCAAAGTATTTACAATATAGTAATTGAATGTAATGTGTTTAATCCAGATTGTGATGACTACAAAACCTTAACAGAGAGATTTTCTAAGTTCGTGCTGGGTAAGTACCCTCTTTGAAACACCATATGCTGGGCTTTTTGGAAAGTGTCTGACGTTAGCTGTTTTAAAAGTCAACTGCCTTGCTGTGCTCAAAGAGCTAAAATAGGGAAAACAGTGGAATAAAAAAAAACACTAGATCACTGAAACACTAGACTATATATTATTTTTTTTTGGCATTAACAAAATTCAATGTCCTGTTTGGGGTTCCTGTTCACCAAGCTGCTAACCATACGGGGAAAATATTAAAATATTATTTGCTTTTTTAATGTAGACATTAAGAGGAATGTAATTTGTCTGAATCAGGAGGTAAAAGAGTAAAAAGGTTTTACTGTCAGAAAAAGAACAGAGAGGAACTTGAGATTTGTAAAAACAGTTATATTTGTTTCTTTCTGAACATGCTCTTCTCTTTTTAGCTATAAACTACGACTTTGTCCGGAGAGTTGGTCAGAAATTATTTGTGTCCTACAAGAAGAGAAATTTTTTCTCCACTGCCGTCGAGTTCTGCACACAACAAGGCTTGGAGCTGGCTTTGCCCCAGAACGAGGAGGAGAACAACATACTGACTCAGATCTTTGGGGACATTTACAAAGAAGTCTGGATCAACGTCAACACTAACAAAGCAGAGGGGAATTTTCAAACTGATATGAAGAACCAACCTCTGACCTTTACCAAGTGGGGGAATGGGCAACCAGACAAATCCATCCAGGGTACCGGCTGCACAAGGTTGACAGAAAATGGCTTCTGGGAAGTGACCACTGAATGCACCAACAATGGTTACATCATTTGTCAGTTATAAAATGTAAATGAAAAAAATATGTATTCGCTCATGCTTATATCCAACAAAAATAAATAAATATTCACCTTAAAGGTATGTGTAAGCATCTGATGGCCAACATCACACAGAGATATCAAACCCAGACAAACCTTTGCCAAGTGACCTCTGATTAAAACGTATCATTTAAAACAGAATGAATCGAAGAATATAGACGAGCCTAGGCCACACTGTTTAATACATTAACATTAACTTACCAGTGGCCTTTAACAAACGTCATTATTCGGGAAAATTCACAATATGGTATAGTTGTATTATTATTCATGTGTTAATAAGACCACTTTTCAAATAAATTCAGTCAATTAAAGTTGGAAAAATGTTCTAACATATCTTAGTTGATAAGAAAAAAGCCCAATCATCTGTTTACATAACAAGCTTGAAATACACCCTTTCTATTTCTCCTTATTACAATCAATGTGAGGCTTCTGTTTTAAGGGATGAGCTGCCAACAGTCACAATCATCATTTACCTACATTTGACTGATTTTCCTAATTTATAACTGAGCTTATGAGGCAATATACCTCTAGTGAGCGGCCCAGCCCTTCACATATGTATTCCTTATTCCTTTATTCCTTATTCCTAAGAATGTATGCTGCGTGTATTTATTGTCTTATGTTGTGATGTTTTTTTGTTTTGATGGCACCCTTGAAAGGGAGAAGCATTTATTATCTCATTGTACATGTATAATGACATTAAACGATTATATTCTATTCTATTCTGTTGTTAACCCTTTATAGGGCACTATTAGATTAACCCTAACCCGTTTCAGGCCTCTGCTGATTGGTCAAATTCCCCAATGGCGCACTATGTGGCCGAGAGCGATCTTCGCTGATTGGCTGGGAGAGAACCACATGCTTCTTGACCTCACTGAGTCACGGGGGGGACGCCATGTTTGGTGTGTGCGGAAGTTAACCCAAATATGGTTCCTCGCCCGATAAAGGCTTAAGTTTTTTTCCAAAAAAAATGTATAAAGGCTTTACAAATATTAATTGAATAAACATAATAAAGACAGTTGATTTAAGAGTTGATA